CTCAGCAAATATAAAAAAATAGAAATAATCCCAAGCAGTCTATGTGATCCCTATGCATTAAAACTGGAAATCAACAACAAAAACAACAGTAGAAAACATGCAAACAATTGGAAGCTGAACAACACATTGCTCAATGATCAGTGAGTCATTAATGAAATAAAAGAGGAAATTAAGTTTCCTGGAAGTTAATGAAATGAAAACACAACCTACCAGAACCTGTGGGACACAGCAAAGACAGTCCTAAGAGAAAAGTGTATAGTCATGAGTGCCTATATTAAAAGGTCAGAAAGATCTCAAGTCAATGACCTAATGCTACATCTCAAACTCCTAGAAAAACAAGAACAAGCAAATCTGAAAACAGGCAGAAGGAGAGAAATAATAAAAATAAGGCCTGAAATCAATTAAATCAAAACAGAAAAAACCATATAAGGAATCAATGAAACAAAAACCTGGTTCTTTGAAAAAATAAGTAAGATTGACAGAGACCCCTGGCAAACCTGACTAAAATGAGGAGAGAAGAAACCCAAATCAGTAAAATCAGAAATGCAAAATGGGAGATAACAACAAACACCACAGAAATCCAGGGAATCATCAGAGACTACATTGAGAACCTATATTCTAATAAATTTGACAATCTTGAAGAAATGGACAGATTTCTAGATACTTACAACCAACCAATACTGAACCAAGAGGAAATTAATCACCTGAATAGATCTATAACACAAAATGAAATTGAAGCAGCAACAGAGTCTCCCAAAAAAGAAAAGTCCAGGACCTGATGGATTCTCTGCTGAATTCTATCAGACATTTAAAGAAGAGCTAATGACAACTCTCCTTAAACTGTTCCACAAAATAGAAAGGGAAGGAACACTGCCTAATTCATTATATGAAACCAATATTACTCTCATCCCAAAACCAGACAAAGACATCTCCAAAAAGGAGAACTATAGGCCAATTTCCTTCATGAACATCAATGCAAAAATCCTTAATAAAATAATGGCAAACTGAATCCAACAACACGTCAGAAAGATTATTCACCACGACCAGGTAGGCTTCATCCCAGGAATGCAGGGGTGGTTCAACATACGAAAATCAATAAATATAATAAACCACATTAACAGAAGCAAAGACAAAAACCACTTGATCATCTCAATAGATGCAGAAAAAGCCTTTGATAAGATCCAACATCATTTCATGATAAAAGCTCTAAGAAAACTAGGAATAGAAGGAAAGTACCTCAACATTATAAAAGCTATATATGACAAACCTACAGCCAGCATCATACTTAACAGTGAAAAACTGAAACCATTTCCCCTAAAATCAGGAACCCGACAAGGGTGCCCACTATTCCCACTGCTATTCAACATAGTCCTGGAATTCCTAGCAGAGCAATTAGGCAAGAAGAAGGAATAAAAGGAATACAAATAGGTAAAGAAACTGTCAAAATATCCCTATTTGCAGATGATATGATCCTATACCTTAAAGACCCAAAAAACTCTACCCAAAAACTCCTAGACACCATAAACAGCTACAGCAAGGTGGCAGGATACAAAATCAACTTACAAAAATCTTTAATTCACCAGTTAGACTACTAGCCATCATCAAAAACACCACTAACAACAGGTGTTGGTGAGGATGTGGGGAAAAAGGAACCGTCGTACACTGCTGGTGGGAATACAAGCTAGTGCAACCACTCTGGAAAAAAATTTGAGGCTTCTTAAAAATCTAAACATAGATCTGCCATATGATCCAGCAATCCCACTCCCGGGGATATACACAAAGGGATGCAATTCAGGTTACTCCAGAGGCACCTGCACACCCATGTTTATTGCAGTGCTATTCACAATAGCCAAGTTATGGAAACAACCAAGATGCCCCACTACTGACGAATGGAGCAAGAAAATGTGGTATTTATACACAATGGAATTTTACTCATCCACTCATCCACAAGGAAGAATGAACTTTTGTCATTTGCAAGTAAATGGATGTAACTGGAGAACATCATTCTGAGCAAGGTTAGCCTGGCTCAGAAAACCAAAAATCGTATGTTCTCCCTCATATGAGGACTTTAGATCTAGGGAAAATACAGCAATGTTGTTGGACTTGGGTCACATGACAGGGGAGACACATACAGGAGGTATGGTAATAGGTTGGAGACCCAAAACATGAAAGCATTTGATGTCCCCACTCCAGAGGAACTAATACAGAAACCCTAAAGCGAAAGAGTTCAACATGAGAAGGGGATCAGGAACCAGTGTAAAGATCAGTTAGAGATGAATCAACTTGGGTTGTAACACATTTCTACATGGAAGCAATGCTAGGAATCTCTCTGTATAGCTATCCTTAACTCAACTAGCAAAAGTGTTTTATCTTTCTTATTATGCTTATGTCTTCTCTTCAACAAAAATAGAGATAAAGGCAAAATAGATTCTGCCTGGAAGCGAGGTGGGGTGAAGGGGAGAGGGTAGGAGCAGGGAGCAGGGGGGGAGAAATGACTCAAACAATGTATGCACATGTGAATAAATGAATAAAAAATTAAGTACTGTTTTCCATTTCATTAATAGATCCATATCAAAGTCAGTCACAGCCACAATCTCTCTCACCTATCAGATTTCATACAGAATTTCTAGTCTATTTGGAGATAGGAAGATATTGATAAGGCAAAACAGGTTCATGGAAGAACTACTTTGAGTAGGAAAAACACATTGAAGTAAGTGAAGATGTCAAACATAAAGATGATATATCATCTATCTTTAAATCCCTCATTTCATCTTAAGAAATAGTATGAATGAATAGCAAAGTTTAATTTGTCTTGGAAGAAAAATTAGACTAGATTTAGCAAAGGCAGGTAATATTAAGATCAGAAGAACTTCCTAACATTTAGAATGTTAGAGAAATTTAACAATAAAAAAATCTCTAACCAATGCAAAGGGCCTGCTGAAAATGTAATGAATTCACTTTTACCAGGAAATGTTCAAAAGAAGTTGAACAACTCTTAATTAGGTGTTCTAGCATTTGGTGAGAGATTGTAGTAGCTCAGTGTCTCCACACATTTTTTTCTTTTTCTTTTCTTTGCAACACTTTCACAGAAAGACATGTTAACCTTCTTAGAGATATTTAAGAAGTGATTTCATTTTTTTCTGAATGTTAAATGACATGTAACTTGAGAATGAAAACCGTTTCAGATATATTATTAGCAAATACCATGTTAAATGATGTTAATCTTTATTGATATGTTAACATAAGGTTTACTTTTATCCAATTGATGTGAAGCATTTTGTTTAATATAGCTTAACTATGTATCTTAGAAAAGATATCTTAACTACATATGTCTTAGAAAAGGCATTTAAAATGACAGATACATTCAATTCTAGGACTGAATATGGAATGGCTAAATGAGAACCATGATTGTACTCATTAAGTGCAAAAATGGTTACTTTGTCACTCCTTATAGAAGTATATGTTTCATTGCATATCATTAGATCTAACAGGCATTGTTTTAGTTTGAGGGGACAACGGTGCCAAATGTACCCCAAACATTAGTTTTCCCATGTAGAACACCCATTGTTATGCAATTATAGAGACTTTTGTGGCATTTGTATTTTTTAAACTTTCTGGGTGCTTTAAGACTGCAAAATAGAAAAATTTTGAATATGAGATGTTTAGAATTCTTGGAGTTATGTTTCTTTTTCTGGGCGGGGTGGTGTTGAGACAGGGTCTTACTATGAAGCACAAGCTGGCCACCAACTCTGGATCCTCCTGCCTCAGCTCCTGAGTGCTGGGATGAGGCACATGTAACACACTACCTGGATCAGAATTGTGGGGTTTTTTGTTAGTTTTTTCAGTAGTATATTTTTCATTTTTTTTGGTTGCTTCTAATTAAAGAGGTGAGAGATTTAAAAGAACAAGCTTTTAAATCTATTTAAAAGCTTTTCCATCTATTTTTCACAATAGATGGAAAAATAAGCTTCGATGTAATTTTATAGAATTTCAAACAAATGAATTCAGCCTATAGATGTGAGGCTCATTTGTAAGACTAATTTGCATAGCTATTCTATTTTTTTGTTGTTTCTTGTTCAGTTGGCATACTTCAGCATCAGTATTCCTTAAGCTCTCAGTCTTAAATTCATTATGAAATTAAACCACATATATATTCCTATATATGAACATTTTCATCTAAAAGCATGTATTTTTAGTTTAGGACATATACATAGTTTTATTAGTTCCCATATACACATAGTTTTAAACTGTATACAAGTGAAAACGATCATGATTTAAGGTAGGGGAGGATGTGCCTACCTAATATATACTATACTACTTTATATAAGGGATTTGAGCACCTGCAGATTTTATTAAATACCTGGTGGATGGAGGGTCCTGGAACCAAGCTCCCCACAAATACAGGATACCAAGAGACACTTGTATTTGCACCTCACAGTCGACAAAACAGTCATCTAAGTACAAAATGCGTTTGATTAAGGTAGACAGATGGAAAGAATGGTTGCTGTCTTTTTTGGTTGAAGTTCTGATTGCATTCCTCCCAGATGTAAGAGAAAGAACCCTGTGCAGTCTTACCTGGAGTCAGAAGGATGGATTCTCTGGGCTGTTTTTCAGTTTCTGTATTGCTTATGGGAGTAAGAAAAAGGGCTGGGAAAGCCATTCCCTGGTAGAGTAGCATGACACTCTAATTAAGAAGCTAACCACGTAAATGTATTCCAGTATGACAGGGTTTGTCACTCAACCCTCACTGCTGCTGAAGTGGCAAGAAGTGGAGTGAGAATACAATGCAGGTAAGCACCTTCTTTGAAGCATGGAGACCATGAAAGTCACTTCCCAAAGTGGAAAGTCGGGAGTCAGGGCCCCACCGCTGCACTTCAACAACCCCCCCCCCCATGGTAAATACTGTACATATACTTCGTGGACTCTGGTGTAGACAATATTTGCATTGTCTTGTCGGGTCACCTGAAAGAAAAATAAGTGTATGTAATGTTGCATGTAATTTCAGCGATTGGTGAGTCATCCTCCACACCTGGCTTCCACCCAAAGAAGGCCTTACACCCTACTTCCACCCCACCCTACCGCCACCTTCAGGGTTTGGCGACTCTACAGAGGACGCTCCGCCCAGTTCAGAGGAAACCCTGCCTCCTGTGACAGTCAGCTGGCCATCAGGCCTCTCAGAGGGACTTTCCCTCCCGAAAGGAAAACTTTCCCAAACTTGCGTGCTGGGGGAGGCGACAAAGGCGCGCTGGCTCCCTTTCCTGGTCCTTGCGCCCGGGTGAGAGACAGACAACCGGTCGCTGCGCAGGCGAAGGCGGGATCGGCCTGGGGTGGGTGGCGGCCGCGTTGTCTGCGCTGTCGTCGCCGGAGCTTGGGAGGAGGCGGAGCTCTGAAGCAGGAGGGCGGGAGCGCGGGGCCGGCCCTGTCTCGCAGCTCCTCCGGCGCCGCAGAACTGACCCCGGCCTCCAGCCACCAGGAGCCACAGGCCCGGGACCAACAGCAGCCGGCGGGGCCGCCCGGGAATGGGCGGCCTGGTGACCTAGCGGCCCCGCTTCTGCGCGCGCATCTGGAGCCAGCGCGGCCGGCACTCCCGGACCCCGCCCGAGAGTCCGCGACCATGAACGGAGACGCCATCTGCAGCGCGCTGCCCACCATCCCCTACCACAAGCTCGCAGACCTGCGCTACCTGAGCCGCGGCGCCTCGGGCACCGTGTCGTCGGCCCGCCACGCAGACTGGCGCGTCCAGGTGGCCGTGAAGCACCTGCACATCCACACCCCGCTGCTCGACAGGTAGGGCGCCACCGTGGCCCCCCAGGGGAGCCCCAGCTCCGCCTCGACCCTCTCTTATCACCACCCCCCTACACACATCTAAAGCGGGTTCTAAATGCCAAAGGTTAGTTCCCACCCCCCTAGTCACCTCTACCCCTGGTCACTCAGCCTTGGGACTGGCAGGGTGGAGAGCAACTGAACCCCTGGAGATGATCGGTCGCTTTCGCCCACTCATCTCTTCTCTCCATCTGTCTATCCCTCTTACTCTCTTCAGTATCCTCTCGTCATACTACAGAAATTAGCACTCACAGACCAATTCTAATAGTCCTGTGTGTTGACATTAACGTGTGCATAACATATAGTGGGCTTTGCTTTACTTTCTACTTTTTTGGAGGCAGGCTCTAGGGCTGCAGTGTCCAGCAGGTAGCTCTTAACAGTAAGAGCTATGGAGCACCTGAAATGTGGCTCAATGCAGTGACAATAAAATATGCAGTGAGTACATGCTGGATTTCAAACATTAGGTACTAAAAAAAAAAACCTCTGTATTTTCAGATTGATTACATGCTAAAATAATGGTTCACACCATATTTTTATTGGACAGTACTGTTCTAGAGTCTGGGATGTTTGGTTAGGGTTTTTGCTGTGTTGTCATAAAAGTTTAGATGTCCGATTCTACATTAGCAGTTCAGTTTTTCTGGCTTTCACAGAGGAGACTGTCCTTAGAGTAAATGTGTATTATTTTTGTAACAATGAATTGAATTCAGAAAACTGCTAAAAAGCCTAAGATTGTGAATATCTCTCACACCATGAAGCAATTTTAGTGAAGTGTTCACATTTTTTTAAGAAAAAGCTAGCATTAGTTTCTGTTTCCAGGAAAATACTACAACCATATACCATGGACTTGTGACTGCATGTTACAGTCAGTGGACTGTATGTTATTAGTCAGTGGTCTAGTCACTAGTCTTGTGTGTTTTCCTTCCAACACAGATTCATTCAGGCCTTGCATTTAGTTTTCAGTGTGCTAACATCCGTAGTTGCAACATTCTCTTCTCCTCCTCCATCTAATGTGAAAAAAACATCATGATAAAGGCCTGATTGAACAGAGGCTAATCTCTGGTCTTCAGTCCTTTCAAAATGGTTGAATTTTCATCTGCCTGTGACTTTTTTTACACTCTGGGCTAAAGAGCATTGTACTTTTGGGACACTTTTGAAGATATTTTCAACTTTTTATATGCCACAATCCAGTTCAGTGATGTATGACATACTGTTTGTTTACCCTGGGCCTTACATTCTGTGGAGCAAGTGGTGGACAGGTATATATATGTGATCAACTTTAATGGATGGTGAATGGTTAGAAAAGATGGATATATTCCAGAAACAACTGTCAAATACTATATGGAAATGTGTAACACTGAAGTCATTCTAAAGCAGTTGATCCTCTCACTTTGGATACTGCTTTTCAAGATTTTAATTTATCTAAACTTTGTGCTATTGAAGTAAAGAGGGAGTTCCCTTCCATACTCATTAACAACTTTCATAGTGTAAAATGCTTCACTAAATTAGGTGGGAATTTAATTCTATCTTCAGAGAAGCCATAAGACCAGTGAAACACTTCAGTGCATCACATTTTTTCTCTTTCTTGTTGTCTAAGATCTTAACATTGTCAGTGTTTTTGTAGTCTGAGCATAGGGCTAGGCTTATACAATTGATTCTCATGGTGTCTATTTCCTCGTTTATAAAACGTAAGTAATAAATACCATCCAAATACTTCATGAGCTCTGATGTAGATAATGTTTGCACTGTTCTGTGGCATCACCAGAAAGAACAATAAGAATATGTGATGGTACATATTATTTTAATGATCGGTGAGTCAGTCATTCTTCATAATCTGACTTCTGTTCAATGAGTCTGCCTTCCACAAGAATCTTCCCACCCCTGATGAGTGGGTGACTCCTATTGGCTGTTCAGATATCCTGCAGATAATAATAACACAACTGTTTTCTCTATTGAAATTTTGAGTTAGGTAATTTTAGTGATATGCCTATAGAAGCTATGTTTTACATTTTTAATTTTTTAAATCTTTTAAAATCTTTATTTTCCCACTCTCAGTCTTGTTGTAATCTATCTTCAAACTGTCCTATTTGCTTCTCTGATCAAGCAATGGAGAAGAAAGAATACAGGCTTTAGAGTACCATACTGCAATTTGAATCGGATTCCAACCCTGCCACTTATTATTGAAAAATTCTTCTGCCGTTCAGTCTCCTTATATATGAAGTAGAGATAATGGAACCAACTTTAGAGGGCTGACCCAAGGACAAGGTGCATAGAAAGTGGCTGACACTTTCATAGCAAAAGGAAGAATGCCTTATGCTTGAGTGGAAGATGGAAAGAGTGTATTAAACATCATGTCACTGGGACTTCTGGAGTATGCCCTCCATGTAGTGCTGTCTCAGTATCCAATAATCTTCGGTTCATCCTGTGTGCCCATATAAGGAGGCTGCACAGTAGTTTTCTTGTTGGCCCATGGGTCTTGTGACAAATACAGAACTGCCTGAACTTAGAAAATATAAGTTTAAGCAGTTCTCACAGACTGATTTAATTGATTTCCTCAAGTATTAAAGGGTTGAGGAAAAAAAGGAGAGCAGCTTTGCACCTTATGTCTTCTTGCAACTCTTGAGTTTTAAAACTTATATAATATCTATTCAAAAAATAAACAACAATGATTTTTCTGCTTTGTTTTGGCTTTTTATTTTTTATTTCTTTTTAGCAGGCATTATGGCCTGGTTAGGAATGTCTGTTGCTATCTTTATTTAAAAGCCATTTATCCAGAACTTGGGTGGTTTAAGGGTCAACTAATCATCATCACTTACCTAATAGGCTTCTGGAAACATTTCTATTTTTGTTATTGCTACTAACACTCACTCAGCCAGGGTAAAAACTGATGACGTCCTCAGTTCCTTTCCATTTTTTTTTTAATTCCCCATAATCAGTCAGTCACCACAGCTGAACATCCTATTCATCCAGTGTTTTCCTCTTCATTTCCACAGCTACCTTTATAGATTTAGGCTCTCCTTGCTTCATGTCTTAGCCATTATTAAAATCTCCTAACACCTGATTTTCTAATCTTTCCTTTCTCTTGATCCTGCTGTCAAGTTAACATTCCAAAATTTGGTTTTACTGATTTCTTTCTCCTTTAATCACAACTTACTATCAAATGAAATGTAACCCTACAAAACAGACTTTTCCTGTAATCATTTCTACATTTCTTATTTCTCCCAACACCCATTCTTCTATAAACTGATGGCTTTGACACTAGATATGATCCTAGTGTCTTTTTTGCCTTTACTCCATTCACATACACTGTTACATATCCTGATCCATATTAAACAATTCATCATTTCACTTTCACTTCCTTGAATTCACTTGAGAGCTGTTGAACATCTACAGTGTAACTATATACAGGCATTGATCTAAATCATGGGGATATACATGTGAAAAAGAAAAGCAAGGTCCTCCCTCTGTAGAGACCTCATTCACTTTAGATGCTCTCTCTTCAGTGTTGAAATCCTGTCCATCCTTAAGGAGTAGCTGATGTCCTACTTCAATGTAGGTTGTGGCTACTCTGCCTCAAGTGTGTTGTTTGATCCAAAAAAGTACGCAAAAACTCCTAAACACCATAAATAGCTTCAGTAATGTGGCAGGATACAAAAACAACTTACAAAAATCATTAGCTTTTCTATACACCAACAATGAACAAATTGTGAAAGAATATATGAAAACAATTCCATTTACAACAACCTCAAAAAAAATCAAATACCTAGGAGTAAACTTAACTAAGGAAGTGAATGACCTCTGCAAGGAGAATTACAAACCTTTGAAGAAAGAGATTGAGGAAAACTACAGAAAGTGGAAATATCTTCCATGCTCATGGATTGTAGAATCAACATAGCAAAAATGGCTATACTACCAAAAGCAATCTACATGTTCAACACAATTCCTATCAAAATCCCAATGACATTCATCACAGAGATTGAAAAATCTACCCTAAAGTTCATTTGGAAACACAAGAGACTGCGAATAGCCAAGGCAATATTCAGCAAAAAGAGCAATGGTGGAGGTATCACAATACCCAACTTCAAACTATATTACAGAGCCATAGCAATAAAAACAGCATGGTACTGGCACAAAAACAGATATGAAGACCAGTGGAACAGAATAGAGGACCTGGATATGAATCTAAACAGCTATGCCCACCTTACTTTTGACAAAGGCCCCAAAAACAGATAATGGAGAAAAGACAGCCTTTGCAACAAATGTTGCTGGGAAAATTGGTTATCTGCCTCCAGAAAACTGACACTAGATCCATATCTATCACCCTGTACTAGTATCAACTCAAAGTGGATTTAAGACCTTAATATCAGACCCAAAACTCTGAAGTAGTACAGGAAAGAACAGGGAATACTCTGGAAATAATAGGTATAGGCAAGGACTTCCTCAGTAGAACTCCAGCAGCCCAGCAACTAAGAGAAAGGATGGACAAATGGGACTACATGAAATTAAAAAGCTTCTGCACAACAAAAGAAATGGTCTCTAAACTGAAGAGACCACCCACAGAGTGGGAGAAAACATTTGCTGGCTGTAAATCAGACAAAAGACTGATAACCAGACTATACAGGGAGCTAAAAAAACTAAACTCCCCCAAAATCAATGAACCAATAAAGAAGTGGGCAACTGAACTAAACAGAACTTTTCAAAGAAAGAAATTGAAATGGCCAAAAAACACATGAAAAAATGCTCACCATCCCTGGCCATAAAGGAAATGTTGGCGAGGATGTGGGGAAAAAGGAGCCCTCATACACTGCTGGTGGGAATGTAAGCTAGTACAACCACTTTGGAAAACAATATGGGGGCTTCTTAAAAACTAAACATAGATCTGCCATATGACCCAGCAATACCACTCCTAGGGATTATACCCAAAGGAATTCAACTCAGGTTATTCCAAAGGCACCTGTATACCCATGTATATTGCAGCACTATTTACAATATCCAAACTATGGAAACAGTCAAAATGCCCCACTACTGACAAATGGATTAGAAAATATGGTATTTATACCCAATGGAATTTTACTTAGCCACAAAGAAGAATGAAATTTTGTTATTTGCAAGTAAGTGGATGGAACTGGAGAACATCATCTTAAGCAAAGTTAGCCAGGCTCAAAAGGCCAAAAATTGTATGTTCTCCCTCATATGCAGACTTTAGACCTAAAACAAATACAGTAATATTGGACATGGGTCACATGCTAAGGGAAGAACACATACAGGAGGAAAAGGGAAAGGGAAGGAAACCTAAAACTTGAAAGTGCTTGATGTGCTCAATGTAAACGAGTGAATAAAGTAATCTTAAACTGACAGAGACCACTATGGGAATGGGACCAGGAAGTAGTGAAGAGGTCTGGTAGAGATGAACCAGTTTGGGTTTTATTACACATGTATGTGGAAGCAATGCTAGGAATATCTTTATCTCAAACTAGCAAATACGATATGTCTTTCTTATTATCTCTGCTGTCTTCTCTTCAACAAAATTGGAGAAGAGGGCAAAACAGGTTCTCCTGGAAGCAAGGAGGGTGGGAGGAAGAGGAAGGAGGGGGCAGGGAGCCGGGGGAGAAATGGCCCAAACACTGTATGCATATATGAATAAATGAATAAACAATAAAAAAAAGTGTGTTCTTTGTTCTGTGAACTCCCCCATAGTTTGCTCTTTTTTCCTTCCTTCCTTTCTTTCTCTTTTTTATTTATACGTCTATGAATATTTTCTTTTGGTGGCACTTATCATATTCTGCCTTGTATTTTCATGAAAGTATTTTTGAACAACTTGAAGGCAAAGTTTTTTTATATTTATCATCTCCATAATTCAGAGTACCATTCTTTATTCATATTAAAAGCTAAAATTTTATTTGTTTTGTTTACAGATAAGCAAATTAACCAAGTATCCAGAGTTACAAGCACATAACTGTCCTCAGTGTTCTTTTCCAAAGTTCTGATGTCTAACTTTGAAGCATTATTGACTTTTATGCAGGTGTTACCATCTAGTCATTTAAATTTCAATACTTAAATATTTTAAAATTTAGGATATTTTGAAATTTTTTGCACAGTATACAACCACAAATTTAATATTCTAATCAAATCTGTTCATTTTAATACAAAATAAACATAATAATTTAGTTAGTTCAAGCACCTGTCATTCTAGCATTGATAGGCTTTATGAACTTCCTCTAACACTGTGTTCTTTCCCTTCCCTAGGAAAAGTACAATAATAATAACCAGTGTATAGCACTTTTCCTGTCAGAGGTTTATAGAAGTTATTTTGGTCTCTAAAGACTTGTGGAATATGTAGGGTAGGTATTATCTCTATTTTAAGTATGATGAAACTGAGGGTCAAAGGTCAAAGAAGTAAAATTTACATGAGCTCACATATCTATAATGAAACTTCCAGGCTTAATTAATCTTATGAGCATGATAATGTGTATTGTATATATATGATAACTTATAATGTATATTCTTATTTCCTGAAATAATTATGCTTTCTTTTCTCCTTAGTGAACGAAATGATGTCTTAAGAGAAGCTGAAATTTTACACAAAGCTAGATTTAGTTACATTCTTCCAATTTTGGGAATTTGCAATGAGCCTGAGTTTTTGGGAATAGTTACTGAGTACATGCCAAATGGATCACTAAATGAACTCCTCCATAGGGTAAGTACTATACATTTTCAATAGCTATCGTCACCATTTGTGTTCAAACTAGAATGCTTTGGTTTTGCATTCTATCAGATTATTTGTGATATATAAGTGAATCAAAGTAATAATGAAAGACAATTGGAATGGTAAATTTCACCTTTTTGGCTTTGTTTTTGTTGTTAAAAAATACTGTGAAGTCAGGCCTTGTATACAGAGGGACCTAGACTATTTTGTGAAGGTCACTATTCCTGACATTCATCCTGAATTATAGTATCCATATGTGCATACACATAGGTATGAATGGGAAAGAGGAAAGATAAGCTCTGTACACTATGCAATCCACTGTTAAGCTACATTTTATGGCAATGACATTTAGGATTCAAAGTTAAGTGTTATTAATAACAGTTCATAAAGTTCTGAATTCACAGGTCAAGTAAATTATCTTCAAGTCCCAAATACATTAACTTTTCTAATAATAGACAGGAATGTGAGCCATTTACCTTTTGTCTCAAGGTACCAGTTACTCTGGCTTTGATTGTGAAGTCTGTCAGTAAACAAATTTGGGCTCTTCATTCTCAAATATATGTATTCCATACATTATTGTTATCTTCAATCTGAATTTTTCTCCAGAAATCTTTGTAAACCACTTGATCAATTTTATGAAGGTTGGTTTAGTTAAAACTAATAATATAATCTAATCACTGGCACTCTAATTAGAATACATCATAATCTCTGTAAGTGACCAAGGGAAAGTGGGTGCCATTGTCAGACACTCATGGAGTAACTTCCTGTTTGTTTCAGAATACATCGCATTCTATTCATGACTTGTGACCATCTGAAACAAAGATGGAGTGGTGTCAGTCTGTAAGGTTGGTGTAACCACCGTAGCAATCAAGATACCATACTAATAAGGAACAATTTTCTTTGAAAAGTGAATATAAGTAGAAATTCTGTTTTCTTCCCACACTCCCTTAGATACTCTGGCACCCAAATTTGGAGCCCACTGGAAATTCTGTAGCCTCCTCCAGGGGTAATGCTAACTCTTGGAAGGAATCATAAAATATAGAGTGAGTGCCCCTCTATCCTTGTTACCCTGATCAAAAGTTTCCATATAACACTATTCTGTACAGAGACCTGGTTATTACTTTAAACTACATAATTTTCGGAAAAAGTTGCCTTTCTACAGGTTAGAAGATTCAATTACTCCAAAGGATTGGGCTATGCATATACCAGAAGAATCAACATTCCACATTAAGTTCTTTATAATTCTTTTGGTTTCCTGTATTAAATTGTTTTGGGTGAGATTTATCTTAAAGCACCCTCCCCAACCTCAGAAAATATCACTGAAAAAATATAAATACAGTGTAAACGATCTCAGATGTTTACACATTGATCACTGAACTTTAAGCACACCTATTTGCAGAAAGAATTCTCAAGACAGTTTTGAGCTTGCAATAGAAGCAGACTTTATATATATATATAAAGTTTAGAAAAATGCTTGGTGATTCATTGTCAGCTTTTCCAAATTTTCTGATTTTTCTGAATATATACATTCTTCTGGGAAACTGTATTAACCTTTACATTCAGAAAACATTTATTTGAAGAAAGCTCAGATTGTCCTCAGTTATAAGTACTAGGAAATATAGACCATTTAGTTCTAAATGTGACCCTCATGTAGGTTTAGAAACAAAAGGTATCTTTGTCTCCCTTGCAAAAAGGAAACTCTCAAGAAGGAATATAGATAAGTTATACTGTTAAATATTATTAAAAGCATGGCATATTAATGCTTACTATTCAAATAATTACACTGTGGTCATCATATTAATTGATGTAGATTATTATAATAATAAAGTATGATTTTATATTATTAGAAAAATTAAAATATTAATCTTGAATGAATCGTTTTGTTCATATCAAAAAACAAATTGTGTGTAATTCTCTCTCTCTATCCTGTGTATGTATGTGTATTTGTGTGTGTGTGTGTGTGTGTGTGTGTGTGTGTACACTCCTGGGCACAAGTTACTTAATTAATCCATAAAACTGGCCAGTGAATGTGAGTATTGGTATGTGTGTCTCTGACTATATACAGATATATAGTAATTGAGAATTGTCTGTTGAAGAAAGAGGAGCTAATCCCACAAAGTTTCCTGGCTAATATAAGCTAATATACTGTACAATACTGTAGTCGTCATTTTTTCACTAGAAATTAAGATATAAAGAATGTTAAACAATATCAAATTGTTATAAAAGTGAACCTGTATCTTGACTTTAGTTTATAATTGAGTTCTCATGAAATATTTATTATTCTTAGGGTAAAATCTAGGCACTAATTTTTATTTTGCTTTTTTCACATATATAAAGAAAATTGAATATCCTGATGTTGCTTGGCCATTGAGATTTCGCATCCTACATGAAATTGCACTTGGCGTAAATTACCTACACAATATGAATCCTCCTCTACTTCATCATGACTTGAAAACTCAAAATATCTTGTTGGATAATGAATTTCATGTTAAGGTAAGTACTTTAAAAAAAAATTATCCATATCCTTGAGCTTAATAGTCTTGATGGTAAAGCCTTTATGATCTAATGGTCTCTGGAAACATCTCATCACAGATACCCAGAAGTATTCTTTACCAATCTCCTACGCATTTCTCAATACAATCAAGTTGACAATTAAGATTAACCATTATGCTATTCAGCTGTTTTTCACAGTGGCTGTACCATTTTACATTCCACCAACAGTATATGAAAGATCCAGCTTCTCTGCACCCTCATGAGAATTCATTCTTATCAGTGTTGTTATTTAGCTGATCATGGCCTTATAGTTATATCTACAATGGTCTTAGTTATAATTTTTCTAATGGCTAATGATGTTGAATGCTCTTTCATGTGCTTATTTGCCATCCCTATAGCATTTTCAGTGAAATGTTTCTTTGTGTAATAAGCCCTTTATTTAACTGGATTTTTTATTTCTACTATTCAGAGAGTTCTGTATACATTTTAAATGAGTCCTTCATCAAATATGTAGTTTTCAAATATTTCCTCCCAGTTTATACTTTGTCTTTTCATCCTTTTAACAGTCTCTCACAGAGCTAAAGTTTTAATTTGGATGAAGTCAACTTTATCACTTTTGTCCTTTATGTACCAAGCCTTTTTGCTATCATGTCTCAGTATTCTTCACCAAGGTCTAGGCCATGGTGATTTTCCTCTGTGTTATTCTAGCATTATTATAGTCTTATGTTTTACACTAATTTATGATCAGTTTTAGATTTATTTTTGTATAAAGTACAAGACTTAAAGTGCTCAAAGAGCCAGATGTAGTAATGACTTTAGGTGCTATCTAACTCATGACACCAAATAAAAAGTAATTTACTTGCTGATTCATTAACACTAAGTGCAAGTAACTATTTTGTATGCATATGTATTTCATTTTTATATGCTTCTTATAATAATACACATTATCAGAATAGTATAAATATAAAAAATGTTCAAAGAAATACATTTCTGTATTACTTAATAGAGAAGAAATAGAAAATGTAAAACAAAAGTATGATAAAAATTAAAAGTAATCTTTTATTGAAGATTTTCCTTTTTCTAGAATTAAATGGTGAGGGAAGGGAGAAAGAATAAGTTTCTGCCTCAATATTGCTGAGAGACAGAAAGAGACTGAGAGAGAGAGAGAGAGACTGATCAATCACAACAATTATAGTAGAAGTACCTTAATGATCAGCAGGTCCTCTGGATCCACACTACATAGTCCCTGTCTCCCAAGACAATTATCCTATGACAGCGGCATCTTAGCATCCTTATTAGAATGACGTTGACATTTTCTTATATGGTTAATCAAAATTCCTTCCCAGTTGCTTTTACCCATTAGTCCTTCTTCACCTCTTCATGATAAAATGAATAAGTCCAAATCTCCTTCCACACAGCAGCCCTTCCAGTATTTGAAGATAGCTCTGATCCCACTGGCCCTCACATGCACTTGGGTTTTGTCCTTCTCCCTGCTAAATGTCCTTGGTTCCTTTAACCAATTTCCTTATTATATGAGTTTTAATTCCTGGTGTTATCTGGATGTATCTGTTTAAATCCTTCAGAAATTTCTGTACTTAAGAGTTAGACAAAATACTCTCAATGGGTCTGATGAATGTAGAATTGAAGGAAAGTCAAATTGGGCTGTCAACAAGGGCACTGAGATATTTTTTGTTTGGTTGGTCGGTTCTTTTTGTTTTGCTTGTTTGTTTGTTGCTGTATCATGTCATTCTCAAATTAGGTACTTCTTTTTAATCCTTAAGTTATGCTTAAATATTAACCCATAGAAGCCAGGTATCAGTAGTACATTCCTATAATCCTAGCTACTCAGGAGGCAGAGATCAGGAGGATCGTGGTTCAAAACCAGCCCAGGCAAACAGTTTTCAAGACCCTATCACAAAAATACCCAACACAAAAAAGGGCTGCATGGTGACTCAAGTGGTAGATAGAGCATCTGCCTAGCAAGCATGAGACCCTGAGTTTAAACCCTAGTACCACAAAAAAAAAAAAAAAATTAACCAAAAGAGAGCTCAGATTAGAGTTGCACAGCATGGACCTGAGAACCAACCTCCAATTCAATGTCAATCTTTTGTTACTCAGCACCTTTAGGAAATAATCACTCAAGTTGTTTGGAATACTCCTGTAAGTACTATTATACAACCAAGTGTCTCCATTTGTCCACAAGAACTCTTATGAAAGTCCTTGCTTGATTGCTTTTCCAAGATACCCTCGTGGCTTACTTTCACACATACTTCACCCTCACAAGCAGTGTGGTCTTCCCTTATCCCCTACCCCAAATAGTTCCTCTCTATCCTCATACTTGATTTACTTCTCCATAGTATTTTTCTCCAATTGACAGGATTTTTTAAGTTAATGTTTTATTGACTATCTCCTCCAATTAGATATAAACTCCATGAAGACAAAAATTCAGGCTGTGTTTTAAACTGCCACATGTCCTGTGTGCCATACAGAAGCATTTCAAAATTATTTGTTATATAAACACATGAATGAGTTTCAGATCTTCTATACACACTAGATAGGCCTGCTAACTTAATATATAATCAAAATATATTGTAAAAGTACACCAGAATATTTTATAATATGCAAACCATTTTTATATTCATTCTTTGACAGTAGTAGTGCTGTCAAAAAAGAAAGAAAGAAATTAAGTTGGTCTTCTTCTATTTTGTATACTTGTGGAATAGCTATGTCATATGAGGTCTGAAATTGAGTGCTGATCTGACATAATCTGTTTTTTTCTGAATTCTTTCATTTTCTGAATTACTTATAAAGTATTCCTTCTGTAAGCTTTCCTAAATTTCTTTTAAACCAGGGTTTAAGGAGAGTCTCCTACTGGAATACAGATTTGTGAAGTCAACATTTTTTTCTTTTTAATAGTCAGGCATATACTTTTTGAATTTTTTTCTATTTTTAATTTACATATTTGCACATCTAAGGGGTGCAGTATAATCCAATACATATATACATTTGGTGTGTACAAAACAATAATAGTAACTAACATATATGATCACATATTAAATGCCACACATCCTTGTGAGTACTTTACTTAAAATGACTCATTTAATTTTTCTCAATACACCTCTACATAGATTATCCACAGTTTACAGATGGACAATGTAGGGCACAGACAAATTAAACAACTTACTCAGGGTTATACAGCTAATTAAGTGGAAGAACTGGGATATAAGCAAATAATCTAGACTCCAGAACCCATGTCCTTAACTAAAGCTATATTGTCTTTCAAAATTAACCAAGCTTGACTTAATATGTTGACAGCATATTTTCTCTTGGTCTTTTCTAATTTTTTTTTCCTAAAACTTACCCTTTAATTAATGGTTAGTATATGAAAAATTCAGGTATTCTACATTTCTTTTGGGGGATAGGTAACTGCAATGTTTTTTATCTCAAATTCATCTTAATGCTATCAAGAAGTATTCCTACCATTAAAATTTGTAATTTTTTTTGTAGTACTGGGATTTGAACTAGAACATACATGTTGATCCACTCCACCAACCCTTTTTCGTGAAGGGTTTCTGCACAATAAGTCTCACAAACTATTGTGCCCTGGCTGACTTCAAACCGCAATTTCTGATCACTGCTACTTCTAGGACATTATTAGTAAGACCATTTAAACCTGTGTTATAAACAATGCCCAGTAACACTGCATGATACATAATTAGAATTAGTACTTCTATGAGAGGTAACTGAATTTTGAAAGCACAATCTTCTTGTCTTGTCATAAAAAGTAGAGTCCTCAGTGTATATACTCATTCATAAAATAAGGCAAAGGCAGTTAGCCTCCCTTTAAACATTTGTAATATTTTGCTAAACCTCCAGTCAGTATGTGTTGCTTCTAGAGCCATTGGACACAGCACCATGGAATTTTGTTTGTTAAGTTGGAAGAATATATAGAAATATATACATATATATTTGTATGTATGTATATCTAGCTTTCCCCGGTCTGATAGCTAAATACAGTACATATACACAAAAACAGACAACTTTTGGACTTTCCAAAGAGAACATTTTTAAATTCAACTATTTACTCTTTCCTCTTACAGATTGCAGATTTTGGTTTGTCAAAATGGCGCATGATGTCTCTCTCACAATCACGAAGTAGCAAATCTGCACCAGAAGGAGGAACAATTATCTATATGCCACCTGAAAACTATGAACCTGGACAAAAGTCAAGGGCCAGTGTGAAGCATGATATATATAGGTATGGTGTGTTGCCTTTGATCAGAGTATACCTTGTTTAAAACTCAGGATTCATCAACCAGAATTTTGAAGCCACATGTTAAATTGTGAATTTCATTCTTCTCTCATAATTGTGGTGAAAATAAATTAGAAACCACAGTGGTTAATATTTTTCAAATTAAAGATCTCTTGCTAACTGTATGCCAGTGGCAAATAATACAAATAATACAGCTTAAACAGGTGATTTACAACTGCAGTTTAACTATAGGTAAATATTTTTACTATGAAAAAGAGAGTGCTGAGACCAGAAAAAAAGTTAATAGAACAGGATTATGTGAGACAGTGTTTGATTGTCTAAGTGAAAAACAGAGTCATAAAATCAGAAGGCATGGTTTATCAGGGTATTCATGAGTAACTATTAAAAAATTAAAAGGATAGCTTTTAAATTGCCCTCAAAAGTTATTCTTACATGTCACTTTAGTATTACAATAATTTGCCAATTTTTCAAATTAAGATTTACTCTTTTTCAAAACAAAGACAAATTCCCTTTTAAGTATGTATGAGCACTCATTGTCTTGGTTGTATATGGTAATTGCCACCTGTCTCTTTCAAAAATGCCATGCTCACAGTCAGCTTTTTAAAAACTAGTCCTGTGTTAGTTTATTAAACAAAGTTTTCTTATAATCTATTAATTTTTTATCTTAAACAGCTATGCAGTTATCACATGGGAAGTGTTATCCAGAAAACAGCCTTTTGAAGGTAAATATACTCCAACTTCCTTAGTCTACATAACATCAGGTTCTCAGGACACATTCAGAACTATCTTAGCTTGACTTATTTTAAATGTGACTATCCATTCTGTACAAAACACTATAAAATATAACAATTTATCAATTATGAATTCACCATATACTAAAAAATATACTAGATTAAGGACCAGAAAACCTAAATTCTAATTCTTATTCTCACAACAATTAGCTCTAAGATCAAGCCACTAAATCTATTGAGTCCTCATTTTTGTCATCTGCAAAGTAAGATTTATGAATTACTATTTTGAAAATCCATTCTAGCTATATTTTCTTTTGTGGTGGTACTGTGGTTGAACTCAGGACTTCATGCTAGCTAAGCTGGTACTCTACCACTTGAATCATGCCCCAAGCCCTTTTCACTTTTTTTTTTAAAAGAGTCTCACACTTTTGCCCAGGCTGGCCTGAATCATGATCCTCCAACTTACACCTCCCAGGTACCATGTACGTGGGGTTACAGTCCCACACCACCTTATTACCTGGCTTACTTGTTGAGATAGGTCTTGCTAACTTTTCGACCGGGCTGAACTCAAACTGTGATCATTTCAATCTCTGCCTCCCTAGTATCTGGGATTTCAGTCATGCACCACCACATCTGGCCTGCTATAAAATTCTTTACATGAAAACTTGATTAGTATTCCTTCTATAAAGACCAGAAAATATTTAGACTAAATTTTGGTATGACTATGTGTGTGCCATATGTCTTATTTCTTCTTTTTCCATTCTTGTGCTTTAAATCCATGTGTGACTATTTAGTATGTGACTCTACTCTCATAGAGGAATGAAATGAAATAGTGGTTACTGGAGACTGAGAAAGACAATTGAATGAGAAAAAGAGGGATGGAGCACCCAAACAGTGAATGGAGGAATTACCTTTGGCTCTTCTTTAGCACAGAAGGATAGCTATTGATTAAAACAATCTACAATATATTTCAAAATGACTAAAAATATGAGTATAAAATTGCCAACACATAAAATGATTAATAGTTGAAGAGACAGAGATGTTTATTACCCTGACTTGACTATTTTACATTGTATGTATTTATCAAATTACCATAATGTACCCTACACAGATGGGTAATTATGCGTCAATAAAAAAGATGTGACTCCCTCTCAAAAAAAAAAAGACCAGCTAGCATTGAAGAATAATCTTTTTCTTTCCCTGATATTGTTTATGTTTTTATTTCGATTTGTATATTGAGTTTGCTATGTAATAAACATCTTCAACATCTCAGTAACTTATAAAATAAATATATCATCTCTCATTCACATTAGATATTGGTTGCTGCAGCCCTTCTTGGCTTTGCTAGTTTTCATTCCACTCTATTGAGCTCTGTCTGCCTCTGTTCTACTCATATACCATTGGCCAAATCAAGTAGCAAAGCCAAGCCCAGCATTAATGAGGTGAGGGTGTAAACTCCTCTCACAGCAGGTGTACACAGCTGACACCAACTGGGAGATACAGCGTTTTACAGAAAAGGATATATTGAATTAGTCCTGAGAATTTAAGATTCTCTCATTGTCATTTAGTTTGATATTTAGAATACTGAGTCGTAATATATTTCTATTCAATGGAATATATTTGTTTTGACAGAAGTCACCAATCCTTTGCAGATCATGTATAGTGTGTCACAGGGACATAGGCCTGACACTAATGAAGAAAGTTTACCATTTGATATACCTCATCGAGCACTCATGATCTCTCTAATAGAAACTGGATGGGCACAAAACCCAGATGAAAGACCATCGTTTTTAAGTGAGTATACAGTTTTAATTTGTATCTTTTACATTATAGAAACAGCTAATATACTATAAGTAAAATATTCCTTGAAAAATCATGCCAATAGATGACTAGCTCCAAATTGTTGTACAAATTCTTTTCACTTTTGTTATTCTTAGCATTTATATAGGGCAACTGCTTCTAGAGAAGACTTGACAATTCCTAACAGAAAAGAGAAATCATCTGATAGGAGTAACAATTCCACTCATTTATTAGGACTCAGCAGCTATTACACATTTACTGGAAAGAGCACTGGGAACAGAGTAATAAACATTACAATCTCAATCCCTAATTTCTGGGAGCTCACATTCTAGTTGAAAAGACAGAGACAATAAATAAGAAGACAAGATATAGATCATGAAGTCCTATAAGGAAATAAACATGGTAATTGACTAGGTAAGGGAGTGACAAAAGGTCTTTTTTAGGAACAAACATTTGGGCTGAGACTTGAAGCATGACAAGGAGCCAGTCATTCAAAAACTGAAGAAAGAGTAATTCCAGCAGAGAAATGAGCAAGATTAAAGACTCTGAGCTTAGAAGAAGAAAAAGGTTTGTATTTGCAGAGTAAAGAGAAAGCCTGTGTAGCCGGAATATAGTAAGCAAGGAAGGTAATAATATGAGATTAGAGAGATAAGTTTGCCATCATAAAAAGTTAGGTTTTTATTCCAAGGGCAATGAAAGTCATTAAAGTTTTTCTTAGGGAAGTGACATGATCTAACTTAAGTTTAGATGAAAATCACTCTTGCTGATGTATGGAAAATGGACTTTAAAAAGGCAAGACTACAAGCAAAGAGATCAGGTAGGAATCTCACTCAGTAGTTGTCTAATTAAAGTGGTAATTCTAGAGACAAGATTACACAGAAATAAAACATATTTCAGAAGTAGAATGGATCAGACATCTAAATGTGAAAGTGAGAAAAATCTTCGTAACCTTGGGTTAGGCAGAAATCTTAGATTTGACATCAATAGGATCCATCAAAACATGGGGACTAGACTTCAAAAACTTGGAAACTTTTGTACTTCAAAATGCACTACTAAAACAAGAAAACAAGCACAGATGGGGATAATATATTTGCATATCATATGTCTGCTAAAACTACTTGTATCTAGAAATATAAAGAACTCTGACCAGCTCAACAGTAGAAAATATAACAAAATTTAAAAATTAGTAGAAGATTTGAACTTCATGGAAGAAATTATACAAATGACTAAAAAGCAGATGGAAAGGTATTTGACATCATTAGAAAATACAAATTAAAACTACAATGAGGTACTACCTCCTACCCACTAAAATAACTACAATTAAAAAGACAGAAAAAAAGAAGTGCTAACAGTGATATGAAGAAATGAAACCTCATATATTGCTGATAGGAATGCAATATGATGCAGCCACATTGAAAAGCAGTTTGCTGTTTCTTAGAAATGGAAGATCAGTTTAGCCAACAATCCTGTAATTCCACTCACAGGCAGAGAAATTCCACTCACCTAAGAGAAATGAAACCATGAGTTCACACAAATACTTGCATGTGAGCAATCATAGCATTATTATTCAGATAGCCAACAAGTAGAAACAGGTGTAATTTCTGCTATTACTACAATAATTTGTAAATTTGTTGCTCAAGGGAGGGGCTAGGACTCCTGATACAAAATTAAGCATCACTAACATATGGACAGTCTGAACTGGATCACCCTACATAGAGAATATAGATAGCAAACAGTGAAGTGCTCACATAAGACCTCTGAGGCATTCCGATACATAGAAATTGAGAAGAGAAAGAGGAAAGGAGATTCTGAGGACAAAATAGATAGTGTCTCTTGTGTCTTGGAAGCTACTAGAGGTATCATTTCAAGGAAGGAATAGTCATCCATGTCTAATTGCTAGGAGGTCAAATAAGATAAGATTTTAGCTTAATTGTGGTGGTGAGAGGCTAAGGCAGGGAGATTGCTTGACTCCAGAGCAATATTATCAATACCCTATCACACACACAAAAAAAGCTACTCATAGTTACTTAAGAGGTGGAGATCAGGAGGATCATAGTTCAAGGCAAGCCCAGACAAAAGCACAAGACCCTATCCAAAAAATAACTAAAACAAAATCTGGGGTCATGTCTCAAGTGGTAGAACACCTATCTAGCAATCATGAGATCCTGAGTTCAAACCCCAGTATCACCAAAAGAGAGAGAGAGAGAGAGATTTCCATCATTGTCATCATTGGTAAACCATACTTTAGTGGAGATATGAAAACAGTGTATATTTCAAATTTAAAGAGGGAAACAAGTATGGACAATTCATTCAAGACTTTTACTCATTTTTTATAATAGAGGGAGTTAGACTAATTAAAGAATAATATCATTATAGGTAAAATACCAAGTCAGAATCTCACTGCACAATGAACAGACACTTAAACAATGAAGGACAGGATTGAAAAACAGGTCCTTCAAGGAGAAGGTAATAGTGGGAAGAGAAGAGTAAGTGAAGAGGGTAAAGGAGGGTGAATATGGTCATGGTACTTTCTATACCGTGTGAAAATGAACTTTGAAATCTGCCAAGGTCACTTTAAAAAGAAGAGTGGCGAAAGAGAATAATGGAGGGGAAGAACCAAACTGTGGTACAATATGTGTGTATATGGAAACGTAACTGTCATATGTTAATAAAAAAGTTTTAAAAGAGACTTTTACTCATTTTTGTGTTATTTGTTCTGTTATTGAGTAGTCAGAGTTCTTTACGTGTTCTAAGTACAGATTTTGGGACTGGTGATGTAGCTCAGTATTAGAGCACTTGCCTAGCATGTTTGAAACCAGCAGCACACACATACAAACAAAAAAATTCTAGATGCATTTTGTTTGGCACATATTTCACATGCAAATATATCCTCTCATCTGTGGCTTATCATTTCTCTTTCTTTTCTTTCTTTTTTTGGTAGGGAGTTGAACCCAGGTCATCTCACACACTACACAAGTGTTCTACCACTGAGCTCATTTTTTTAATAATGTCTTTCTGGACATAGCTAAGAAATCTCCCTACCCCCAAGGTCCTGAAGATTTTCTTCTGTGTTTACATTTAGGTGTATGATCCATTTCAAGTTAATTTTTATGTATGATGTGAGATTTATCTAAATTATCTGTTTCTATGTGAATTTCCAACTGTCTTTGCACAATTTGTTAAAATGACTATTCTTTTCTTATTAAATGACCCCTTTGGTGAAAATCAGTTGGCCATGATTGTAAGAGTTTATTTTCAGACTCTGTTCTTTTCCATTAATGCTTATCTGTCTTTTTGCCAGTGATAAAGATTCTTAGGATAATTGAATATCATTAGCTTGTCAAAAGATTGACTTGGGATCTTATAAGTTAAATGTTAGCCTTTCAGTGTGGTTATGATTAGAAGCAATCCTAACTCAAATTGTTATTTTTTTCTTATTTAGAATGCTTAATAGAACTTGAACCAGTTCTGAGAACATTTGATGAAATAACTTTTCTTGAAGCTGTTATTCAGCTAAAGAGAACAAAGGTAAATTTCAAAGTTTTGAAATGTTAGAAACTAGAACTTTAAACAACTATATATTACCCATGAAGTTTTTTTATTTGGCTTAGTTTATTTGAGTTTTATCTATATTCTTTTCACAGATACAAGCTAGAGTTTTGAGGTGGGAGAGTTTGCCAAAGACTGTGAAAACTACCCTTTCTTTGTCATCAAAGGGTTTTTCCACTCATTCAAATTGCTGCCTTCAGATTTAATATTTCCAGAACCTTTAAGTATCAGATGTAAATTTGAAATGTGTAATGAAGGCCACCTGTGTATAGTGAATGCCATGCCCTGAATCACTACAAGTCTGTGTGCACATGTGTATTAGTTTACATTTACCTTAAGTTTTAATACCTATCAAGTAATGGATATCTGAGTTCTTGCTCTTCTCTTTTTATTCAGTGCATTTGGGATTTTCTGAAATTTATTGCCAGGTTAAGCTGAGAATTTATATAATTGAGACCAAAGGTGTTTCTTTTTTTTTTTTTTTTTGCTTATATTTTTTTCATTTTCTTACTCAAGTACTCCATGTCACCTAGACAGAAGTAGCAATAGAAGTTAATGTGAATTACCTTGGGCAGTTGTCGGATTGGTCTGGCTCTTGTGGATCAGAAGAACTAATAAGTGAACCTACTACTGTAGGGTTTTCTTAATATTGGCAAAAATTACTTTTAAAGCAACTATAGTCTCTTAGAGTAGAGTAAGTGTAGTTTAGCACTTGCTAGGTTTCATTAAATTATACTTGATATATGATAATAAAAATACCAGTTAGCCAAATTCTTAGGTTATGAACAAGCACAATATATAGTTTATTCATTACTGAGTGACATCTTGCCTGCCCCTTGTAGTTTGCTGGACTAATGGCATAACCTTTGGTTTTAAAAGAAGTACATAAAGAAAGCAGCAACCCATAATCAAACTAACATTTGTGGTAGCTATATTAATACCTGAGTAGGAACTGTTGTAGTTCTTTCACTGGCTCCCCCACTTCTGAGTTGGTATAGTCTTTCCAGACATACCAGTTTCTCCACTTAGACACAGATTTCTGAAAGCATTGCTTTCTGCCTATCTTTTCAGCTCCTTTTTTCTCCTCACAACTTTCTGTTTTATTTCTCTTCTCTTTCTAAACGAAGCTAGATAGAAAGACCTGATGTCTTGGTTATGAAGAGAAGGAAAACCATTCCAGTTCTTTTTTGTCTATAATCAACTTAAACACTAGGATAAGGCTAATAATTTATAGCTTTTTAAATACAGTATTTATTTTCAGGTACTTTAATACCATTTAATGTATTCTTAAATGTCTTATGGTATAGTGTCATTTTCACTTACAATTGTTACTCTTTTTTTCCTCTTTTCTTTTTTTTCAATTCTGTGTCAGTTTGTAAACCTGTTAGGGCAAGAATATCATTTGATTCTTTAGGTAAAATAATTGTGGAATAGAGAAGTTAGTCATTTACATAACACCCCACATAGTTAGCTAATGGCAAGTCCACAATAGAAATTTAAAAGCTGGGTGTGGTGGCACCATGCCTGTAGTTCCAGCTACTCTGGAGATAGAGACAGGAAAATCATGAGTTTGATGCCAACCTGGGGAACATAGGCAACAAAGTGAGACACTATCTCAAAAAATTTAATAAGATTTTTGTAAAGAAGTTTCTGAAAACAAAGATCACTTTTAGAGTGACTTGTTTTGTTGCTTTATCTGTTTTCGATTCTTTTAACCAGCTTTTATAATTCATGTTTTTGCATGAATATATGTTGAAGAATTAAAATGGAACAATTGTTTTCTTTACATTCTATTTCATTTCCACTTTAGAACTAATTTACTAGTTCATAAGCAATTTGAGTTATTATTACCAGGTCAGTAATGAAAAACAGTGTTGCTGGTTGTTCTTGTTCTCTCTCTCACTTTCAGTCCATTGAAAGTATATTCCTTTCCTAGTAAACATTACTATCATTTTCAATACAAGAAAAAAAAATCCAGTGTTACTAATTTAAAGATACTGTATTATCAGAAATGTTTCAGTAAACCACAGAAAAATCTTATATAACAGTGATATAGCCAAAAATAATTTTAAATGTTCATACAGAAATCCATTGCAAATGTTCATTAAACTACTGTGAGTCCAGTATTAGTATACCTGTGCAGTATTGTATGCACAGGTGGACAGGAGTTTCTTCCTCCTAGTGGAGATGGCACTGTATAATAATGGAGGACTGGGTGCAGAACCCAGCAGTATCTAAAGTTCTGAAAAGCAGTGGGCATTATACTGGCATGAAAGGAAAACCAGACAGTGTTTTGTTTTAAAATCATTCTGTAGTGAGGACAACTAATCTGAGTCTAGTTTATAGGTGCAAAAACAAGACACTTAATTTTAGTTGCAAGAGGATAGCATTTAAATAAATAAATCATCTGCTTAGCATCTTCCATTTATTGAATGCTTATGAGTAATCTTAGGGCTTTTTACACATATTTCTTCTAATTCTCCTTGCAGTAACCCTGCAAAATAAGTATTTTTACCTCTAATTTATAGATAAGTAAATTGAAATTAAGTGTTATGCCCAAAGTCATGCAGTTAGGTATCCTGAGATTGTAAATCTGATCTGCTTAGCTATATAGCCTCCACCATTCCATTATAGCACACTGCCTTCTTTACTTAATCCAAGCCTTAGATTCTTATCAATAAAATGAAAATAGTAATACTTCAGAGTACAGTGCTTGAAATATAGTAAATGCTTAAGAATTGTGGATAGATAGAATGCACACATACCTGAAAATTTATGCTAGACCTAGTTTATACCAGACACTTCATATTTATTATCTCAGTCTTCAGAACAATTCTTTAGGCACCTATTATTTTAAAAATAAAGGCCCGACACTGAGCAATCAACAGTGTGCTCAAACCAACTCATTGGTCTGAGGCAGGATTCAAAGTGTGCTTCTCTAAGGTTTTTCCCCTATTCTGTACTGTCTCTACTTTAAGTTGTGTATTTTCAACGGATTTAGATTCCGTTTCCATTGACCTTTGTATAAACATCACATAAGTAGACTATATTTTACTTTTGTAGTTTCCAAATCACTTAATATACATGTTCATTCTGGTTACAGAGTGCCTCAAGCATTATTCACTTATGTGATAAGAAGAAAATGGAGTTATCTGTGAACATACCTATAAATCATGGGCCACAGGAGGTAAAAAAAAAATTCTATATGTATCAACATATATAAATATGTTTAAACTTGAAGTGTGAGAAGAATATAAGAAGTCATTTAGTCTGCTCCTTCTTTTACAGATGGAAAACTAACATCCAGGGAGCTTTCAGAATGTGTTAGGCAGCTATGTCAACACATTGTTCATCCCATCAAATCACCTCTTGCTTCTTTGGCATTAACTTCTCTCCTTGTCATTGTTTTATATAATGAATTATCTCTACAGTGGTATATCATAGGCAAATCATTGATTATAACTCCACTGCTAGATTTATGCCATCTTGTCCTTACCTCTTATAGTTACTAATAAAAGAAGAAAAACAAAACAATTTCTGTTGCTCTACATGAACAATTTCTTTAGTAGCTTTCATTCAGACTTATTTCTTGACTCATATTTTTAAGAATATATATATTCACTTTACAGATTCAGAAAAATAATACCTTCAAAGAATCTTAAACCACAATATGTAGTTTTTCACCGCTTTTATATGCAATGTCTAATTTGATCCTTGAGCCCATGCTTGTACGTTTTAAATAGATAGTACAAGACAAGGAACCTGAGAGACAGACAGTTTAAATGCTTCATTGAAGGTGAGCAGTAATTTCATGAAAGAGCTAGTAGTGCAGTCAAGTTTCCCATTACTTTTTCAAGGGTTTCCCCACCCCTCAGGTTGAAAGAACAGAACAAGCATTTTTTCTAAATCAACAGATAACCAGAGTCACAGATTTCAGATTTCCCATCCTGTTCTATCCACTGGACAAAGCCTCTAGAATCATGTAGAATATATTGAAAACACTGATTATTTCAGACTAGGGGTAAGGCTCAATTAGTGGAGCACCTACCTAGTAACCACAAGGCCCTGAGTTCAAACCCATCTCTCCTATCTGATTTGACAAAGAAATAAAGGGCATATTTGTTGGTGATTTTATATATGTCATCTCTTTAATTCTATGTTATAATTTGTAGTAGCTGTGAGTCATTTATAGTAAGCCAAAAGCAAGAGCTATTTACAAAGTAAAACTATATAACTTTTAGTGTGATTTTTTTTAAAAATTAACCTTTAGGAATCAAGTTTCCATAAATGAATATGTTTTATCCCATTTGCTTTAGGAATCATGTGGATCCTCTCTGCCCTATAAAAGCAGTGGTTCTCCTGAAACCTCACAGTCCCTGTCTGCTCCTCAAGACAAAGAATGTTTATCTGGTACATTAATTTTCCACTCAGTATTGACTTAAAAGTTTTCCATTTTCTTTCAACCTCATATTCTTGGCAAACAGTGATGGTTTATATGGAACTTATCTTTCATGTCATTCATAACTGTCCAAAGGCATGCAAACAAAGACAGCACTGACATGTCCAACTGATGCATTTTAAGTATCAAGGCACTGTGTTGGACATTATGGAAAGATACTTTTAAAAATTAAAATCTAGTAAGAAAGAGGAGAAATGTTTCTGAGTTGCCATAGCATGGGAAAGAAAAGTGCTGTATTTTAAGAGAGAGTACAGAAAGCTGTGGTAGTACAGTGAGCAAGTAACATTCTTTATGAAGTACTTTTTACAGCCCTGTGGAGGAGGGAGTCCTCATTTTGGAGATAACTTAGCTAGTAGGTGGCAAAGGCTTGACTGAACCCAAGCGTTTGCATAAATACTATCATGTCACTCCACTTCATCATGTTGTCATCATGAAGACATTTTTTTCTGGCTGAAGGCTGGAACTCTAGCTACAAAGAATAGGCATTCCAGGCAAAAGGAACAACACAGAGGCCCAGAAAACATAGAAAAGTGAGCAGTTTGGTTTAAAGGATGAATGAAAAGAGATAAAAAAGACAAGTAAGGTAGAGTCATATCACCAAGAATTCTAACGGGGCAGGCATGGTGATTCATGCCTATAACCCCAGCTACTCAGAGGTGGAGACTGGAAGAACTGTGTTCAAGGCCAGCCTGGGCAATAGGTTTAGCAAAACCCCCATCTCAACAACAAGCTGGGTGTGGTGATTTATATCTGGTACACAGAAGGCATAGGCAGGAGGATCATGGTCTGAAGCCAGCCCTGGGCTAAAAGCATCTAAAAAATAACTAAAGCAAAAACAGAACCAGGAGCAGCATGAGTGAGGTCGAGAGTTCAAACCCCTGTACCACAAAAAATTAAAAATAAATGCACAAATAAATTCTAGCAGCCAGCTAAGATATTTGAGTTTTGTATCTTGAGTAGGGAATAGCTCTTGAAAATTCTCAAGCAATGATGTGACATAATAAAATTTTGCTTTAGGAAAATTCATCCTGTCTGGAATATATAAGGTATTTTGAAAGGAAAAGGAGATCTGAAGTGGAGAGAGCAGTTAGGAGACTATTAGGGTGGTGCTGGTAACAGATCCAGAGAGAAAGCGGGAAGGCTGGGGTGAGTGACACTGAAGGACTCGCAGACAGAACTTTGTAACTTACCACTTAAAAGAATTAAGAGAGAGAAAAAGAAAGAAAACTGAGTAAGTTGTTAAGGCCAGCCACTGGAAGAACACTGATGCTATTAACAAAACTCAGAGTTGAAACAGATTTTAGAGTTAAGATGAATGATGAGTAAGTTTTAATGGGTTTTTTTTTTTTTTAGTTGCTAGCAGTGGCTATTAGTGATATCCAGTGGGCTGTTGAAAATGGAAGTTAGAATACTCAGTGATGACAGAGAATTTAATCACATGTAGTTAAGAACAGACATGGACAATTGAAGCCTGCAATTTGAATAGGGACATCAGAGAAGAAAGTAGAAGACACATGTCATATACAGGTTTGACTCACCTAAAACTCTGTATTGACTATATATTGACACAAAGAAATATGAGACTATAAGGCAAAGTGAGATTCCATGATTTGTATTATACAGAGGACAGACAGAAATACAGTAAAAACATTCAGTATAAACCCTTGTTTGCTCTAAAAGTATTTATTTACAGAATCTGGTTTCTGAGCTGCTTTGATAGCAGTGAAAAACTAAAGACCTTGGAGCCTACCTTCTGTGTGACTCAAATATTGATATCTAACTAACTAATATCTATCTAAATAATATTCTACCCCTAGTAAAGATATTGTTTTTTTAGGAAAAACGCAAGACTACCCTTCTATGAGGGTGCACCACTGTGCAGGAAATCACAGTTGGGACAGTACCGTTACTACAGCTCAAAGGACGACATTCTGTGGTCACAAGACTGCTGCGTGCTCTTTAGCAGTAATGAACCCACTCATGGTGGACAGCAGTTCAGGTAAACATTTACTATAAGACACATTGTAAATGATGCCATTTACTTCAGAAATGCAGATCCAGTAGCTTCATAATACAATAAGATTTCTTCAAGTTTATTTCCTCAATATGGTAACTATATCGCTCCTTAAACAGGAAAGCATTTCCAAGTCCATTACTAACATGGAATAATAAGTTCAGATGGTTTTCCAAGAACCTCTTGAGAAGGAAGAGATAAGAGGGGGTATTACTTAATATGTTACTAAAGGTAAACCTATTTTTATTTAGCAAATATGCAGGTATCCTTTATATTTAAAACAAAACAAACCAAAAAGCACAAACTAAAAGATAGTTTTTCCCCCCATTATTTAATAGCATATAAAAAGGCAATGCTTTTTCTAGAAGGTGAAGGGTTAGATAACCCAGATCTCTAGATGTTTTCCTGAAAAAGAAGAGCGTCTTCAAAAGTACTGGTGTTCGTGTTTGCCACAATCATAGGTGTTATGCCTATTTTTTTCCATGTAATTATACTTATTGCTGTGTGTCTGTCCTCACCTTTTTAATTGCTCATTACATGCTCTTCTGCAGAGCGTCTGCAGCCTGGCATAGCCCAACAATGGATCCAGAGCAAAAGGGAAGACATTGTGAGCCAAATGACCGAAGCCTGCCTTAACCAATCACTAGATGCCCTTCTGTCCAGGGACTTGATCATGAAGGAGGACTATGAACTCATTAGTACCAAACCCACAAGGACATCAAAAGTCAGACAATTACTGGACACCACTGACATCCAAGGAGAAGAATTTGCCAAAGTTATCATTCAGAAGTTGAAAGATAACAAACAGATGGGCCTTCAACCTTACCCAGAAGTACTTGTGGTTTCTCGATCACCATCTTCAAATCTCCTTCAAAATAGAAGCTTATAAGTGAGTCTTTTTCAAGAAGAAAAGCAGTTTATAAATGATTATTTATATGTCTGTTACCTTGATATTGTTTTTATAAAATACCATGAGTATCAGAAGCTTTACTGAAATTTGGGAGGGCAGTTTAGTCTCCTCCCATGACATTGCAATATTTTTTTTAATTAATAGAAGTAAAACCTTGGCATTTTTCTCTATAGTTCAGTTTTTCATGTCTCCTTCATTAACTGAAACTATCTGCATTGTGATAATTGAATTCTTCTTGTACATAACAGTATCTTAAGGCACATGTGTTTTGATGCAAGCCATTTTCACTCTCACTGTCTGTGTGGATTATTTATGACTTCTCTGAGATGCAGTTTCACTTTGTGAAGTGAAGACTTGTATACACACATCAGTAATACAGCATTCTACTGAATAATCCCAGGTCAAATCTTCTCCAGAGAGTTACTAATTTAAAACTCCATTATTCAGATTAAATTCTTCAATTTTATTTATAAATTCTTTAAGAAGTTGTTTTAAGGAATATAAAGCACATAAAATAAAATGTTATCTTTGTTCACAATGGTAATAATTCCCATTTGTAACTTCAGCCATCCCCTGTCACCAACAACCAGCCTGACCACAGTTAGCAGTCTGATGTGTACCCTTCTGTACCCTTCTCCTGCTCCTATGCTGATTTGGGAGGCTTTTTTGAGGTTTTTGTTTTCTTTTTTTGTTGGCGTTGCTGGGAATTGCACATGCTAAGCAAGCTGTGTTATTACTGAGCTGTTTTCCCACCTCAGGTATTTTCTTAATTTTACTATTTTCGCTATAATATATCATCCTAGAGTCTGCTTTTGCACATAATAGTACAGAATGTACAGCCTTCCAAATCAGATATGTTTTAAGTCTAACTTTTTTTTTCTTTTTTTCTTGGCAATACTGGGGATTGAACTCAAGGCCTCATGCTTGCTAGACAGGCACTCTACCATTTGAGCCAGGCTCCCAAACCTTTTTGCTTAGTTAATTTTTTTTTTAGATAGGGTCTTGCTTTTATGCCCAGGCAGGCCTGTGATCTTATTTGTTCTTCCTTGCATAGTTGAGGGTGGCAGGAACACACCACCATGCCCAGGCATGGGGTTGAGATGGTGTCTCACAAATGTTTTGCTTCTGCTGGCTTCAAACCAGGATCCTCCTGATCTCCACCTCCTGAGTAGCTAGGATTGCAGGTTAAAGCCACCACACCTAGCTAACTCATATTTTGCTTATCTTTGTGTGTGTGTGTGTGTGTGTGTGTGTCTGTCAATAATGGGGTTTGAACTCAGGCCTTCATGTTTGCTAGGCAAACATTCTACCATTTAAATCCATACACCCGGTCTTGGCTTTTTAAATATTTTGATTTTTTTATTATTTTTCAGGTATGGTGTGGCTTTTCCCTGGGGGCCGGGCATCAAACTACAATCCTCCTACCTACACCTCCTGCTTAGCTGGGATTATGGTGTGCACCACCACTCCCAGCTTGTTCATCAAGATAGGATCTCACTAACTTTTTTTGCCCAAATGGGCTTCAAACCTCATCCTCCCAATCTTCACGTGACTCCCAGGTTGCTGGGATTACAGGGCTGAGCCACCTTGCCCAGCACTAACTCATCCTTTTTAATTACTGCACAAATCTGAGCTTCTTTTTTAAACTTTCTAAATTTGTTCATACCAGCTTTACCCCAAGCCATAAAAGTACAAAATGAGCTCTGGGTTATATCACTAAATGCAACCTACAAGAAATAGCAGCCTTTTCTTAAAAAATGTTTAACAAACTCAGCAACAAGTGAGATTTATAGGATAAATTTGAAAGTACAAATTTTAAGAAGCACCAGTCACAAAACCTGAAAAAAGTTGAATAAAAGTACAAGAAAGGGCCAGTACTGTGGATCATGCCTTAATCTCAGCTACTTGGTGAGGATCCAGGTTCGAGACCAGTCCAGGCAAAAAGTTAACAAGACTCCATCTCAACCAACAAACCAGGTGTGTTGTGCTCCTGTAAACCCAGCTCTGCTGGAGGCACAGGTAGAAGGATCGCAGTCTGAGGCCAGCCCTGGGCAAAAACATGAGCCCCTGTCTGAAGAATAACTAAAGCAAAAAAAGGGGTGTGGTTCTAGTGATAGAGCACCTGCCTAACAAGCACAAGACCCTGAGTTCAAACCCCAGTACTGCAAATAAGTAAATGAGTAAACAAATATATGAAAGAAATTAGATGACATTGGGGAAGCTAAATATTTTTTCATTTAAAATAAGAATTTTAATCTCCATTTGAGCTTTACATCAACCTGTGGGACCTCTTCCTGTGCCTATGAGAAATATGAAAAACAAAAGGGGATATTGACACTAATTAAACACACGGATAACCTATTAAACTCTAAAAACTATAAATATAAAGATTTAATTTGTAAATAGTAAGAACAGAGCAAATCTTTTCTTTTGGAGGTTTTTCCCTTTCTGTATTTTCTTTAAAAATTATTTTGCATATTGATGCTCTCTTTGGATTGATAAAATGAACTTTGCCTGAAACTGTTTTTCCCCATTTGCAGCAAAGATCTAAAAACTCATAGTCTATGAGTCATAGTCTATGGCTACGTGGCTACCACCCATTTTCTGCCATGAGAAAAAGGGGAAAACACACGCAGTCATCCATCATCACAGCTGTGCACACTCTACACGAATGATAACAACATTCTGAGGAAGGTGTGTCAAGGATCAAGATGAATCTGCAGTGAGCTGTCACCCCTTCATAGAACTGTCGCCATCTCAGTGGCTGATTCTCACTATGACCTTTCTGTAATGATAGGCACATTGGTATTTGGGGGAAGGTGACACACTGTGCTATAGGACCAGGCAGTACAGAACAGTGTCTGGGCTACAGCGGGCACTTTCTAAAGAACTCTTTAGTAAATAGCTCAGTGGAATGAAAACTGGAGAAGGGAAGAAGGTGCTTTGTTTATATCTTGTTTCCCAAAATTTATGCAAGTACAGCTAGCAGTAAGTGGGATTACTTGAAGTAATAACATTTGAATCCTACAGTAAGGAAGATTCTTTTCAGTCCTTTTTTTTTTTTTCTTTTTTGAGCTTTCTAATTAAGTAAAGGAGAATTTCTTACTTTTACATGCTATCATCTTTTAATATCCTTGTTTTTTTTTTTTTAACAAAACAAAAGGAATAAGATTCAGGCACAGAAGTTCAGAAACATAATTTAGCAAGAATTTCATGATATTTTATTTATTTTGAAAAACTATACAGGACAAGTAATAGTCAAACAAAAAGACAATTTGAAGAACTAAATTATAATGAAGGTGGTACATGGATGTGCCAACAATGACAGAAGTAGTGGAAGAACTGATTAAGATTCAGTCTCTTTTAACTGGATGCTACTAGAATGCTACAGAGGGTATTCTTTGCAGTGCATTCTTTGCAGCACATTTCACTACTGTGCTACCTAAAGTATACAGACATAGCTGCCTTAGCATCACCTGGAATGCAAAATCAGGGTCTCTGTCTCTGGGAATGAGGTCCACCAACCAGTTTTAACAAATTTTCTAGGCAGATTCAAGGTTCTTGTTTTAAGTAACACTGTGAAACTATGCATCAAATAACTTATCATTTGTCTAATTACCACACGTCTTTACAGTGTAGTCTCTGAACTGAGGTTTGATTGGAAAATCTTTCTTTTGCATCCAACTCAAATTCCACAATGTTAGCCATGTTTTGCATTTTGGAAATATCACTTAAACATGATAATCAGACCAGATTAGAATCTACAACTCAGTTCTTTAAGGAATAATTTCAGAAGGAACAAACACTTGAATTACAGCAGTGGAAGATCTGTGTCGATGTCAAGGATGAACAACATGAGAAGCCAGACCACAAATTTGTACTAAAGAAATCAGCATAACTGTGGAAGCCCAGGGTATTGTACCTACAGGATCCTGCAGTGAGGGCTGTTTTCGTTTTGTTGGGGTTTTTTTGTATTTGTTTTTGTTTTTTTATCCATCATTAATTCTCTGCCTACTCTCAACACCCTCAGTCAAATACTGAATTTCCTAATTTATGAAGAAAAAATTATGGCCAACTGGGAGAGGATAACTAGCAAAGTTTCATGGTAAGCCATACACACAAACATCTCATTATTTTCAGAAAATTGTTTCTTCTCTAAAATCACACCCCCCCATATCCCATACAGGTCAGTTCTCAAACTATCCATTACCTTTTCTCTCTCCATTGCATTATTTCTTTTCAAAGTCAAGCAACCATATTTCCTATAAAAACAAAATTCCTTCACTGACCTGTCTATTCGTTTTTCCTTTTCTTGAAAAATTAGTCTATATTGACTCTATTTTTGTTACTGTTTTCTTTCTAAATTGTTTTTTAAAGCTTGATGTCATTTACTTAAAGAATGTGTGAAAAGGAACAAATACACATCTTATGCCACAAATTCCTTTACAGTAAAGATATTAGTAGACATGTATCTCATGAATAAACACTACCATTGATGAAGTGAAACTCATAACCCCTTCATACAATTTAATTTCTCTCCAGACAAAATTATTTATATATTTCCACACTGATTTTATTTTCTTATCATTTATTTATTTATTTATTTATTTATTTATTTATTTATAGACTAATCATGGTTGCCCTGCAGGTTCTCATCTAGGCTTGGCTCAAACTTGTAATCCTTCTTCCTCAGCCTTTGGAGTGCTGAGAGTACAATCATGTGCCAACCATGACTAGCTTATATTAAAATTTTTTAACGTAAAAGAATATACATGAAAATATATTCAATGTCTTTAGCCATCAGGGAAATGAACATCAAAACTACATTGAGATTCCATCTCAACCCAGTCAGAATGACTATCATCAGGAAAACAAACAACAACAAATCCTTGTAAAAATGTGGTGAGGGAAGGAGTCTTATACACTGTTGTTGGAATGTTAATTAGTGCAGCCACTATGGAAATCAGTATGGAGGTTCCTCAAGAAACTAAAA